GAGAGAGAGAGAGAGAGAGAGAGAGAAAGAGAGAGAGAGAAAAAGAGAGAGAGAGAAAGAGAGAGAGAGAGAGAATGGATGTTCAAGTAATACTTAACTCAATCAACTCATGACAGTGACAGCAAGTTTAGCCCGTGCTATAACTTTCAAATAACAGATCATTTTTCATATGAAAAGTATAATATGGCCTCAAACTCACTATGCAGGGGTATTTTCAAACTTGCCCGACCTTCAATTAAGGATTTAAGAATATTTTGTGAAAGATGTAGAAGGGTAAACCATGAAAAAAACGTGTTTGAATTTGTAGCCGAAATTAATGCACATGAGTTTACCCAACATTAAGTGATTTTCCCATGGGCACTCAACAGGAATTCCCCAGAACACAATCCGATGTTTAAGATTTTGAGCTGCCTGGCTAGCTTAAAAAAGATCTCTATAGTATTAAACCATCTAATTGAGATTTGGCTAATCTCTCTCTTTTTTTTTTTCTTGTCTATGTTTTACAGTGCTCGCAACTGCATAAGGTCATGAGTGCACAGGACATATTAAATATTATCAATTCGGTAGGAATTTTGAATTTTGCCCAGCTAGGTGGCAGCGGAGCCCACTGTTATCAATTTTATGACCATCACTGGATCTTTAACGTGCACAACTTGCACATGGGACCTCCAAGATTTTTCGCCCTCATCTTTGGCTAATCAAAGGATTATTATACTATTAGCTAAGTCATATATTCCCATGTACCAAATGTGTTAAAGTTTTAGCGAGAGACCTCGGAAAGTTAGCTATTCATAGTGTCTCAGTTGCAAGTTTGAACTCTCCTGCTGCAGTAGAGTGGACAAAAACTGATCACTGGTCAAAATAAGCATCAATTTAATTAACAAACTTTTGGTATTGTTTTTTTTTAACTTATGAAATATTTAGACTAAAGGAACCAGAATCTTTCAGAAATAAGTTTATTTCCTTGCAGGAAAATCCTTTATTAAACACCATAAATCCACAAAAAGACCTTTTCTACAGAAAACAGGATTGTTCCCAAGCAAGAACTGGGCTAGGCAATCACATGTCAGCCACATCAAAACCATTTAAGAGAGAGAGAGAGCAATAGTGAGATGCTATCGTAATCAATGCCCCCTCTCCCTCCTCCTCCCTTCAACCTCCTAGTCTCTCTCTCTCTCTCTCCTCCGCATGAGGCAAAGTTGTTGAGGAAATCAGTGGAGGTTGTGAAGAAAAGAAGACATGTATATTCTGTTGCTGTTGTTGTTGTTGTTGTTGTTGTTTTTGTTGTTGTTGTTGTTGTTGTTGTTGTTGTTGTTGTTGTTGTTGTTGTTGTTGTTGTAGTAGTAGTAGTAATAGTTGTTGTTGTTGTTGTTGTTGTTGTTGTAGTAGTAGTTGTTGTTGTAGTAGTTGTTGTTGTAGTAGTAGTAGTAGTTGTTGTTGTTGTTGTTGTTGTTGTTGTTGTTGTTGTTGTTGTTGTT